AACTCGATAATAGTGTATTCGCTGAGTGGTCTGCATGTGATGAGTGTTTCTCTCGCATTAGGTTGTGGACTCATAACTCAGACACATTTGTTCTCTCCAACATGCTTTCAAATTACAATTTCTCAATAACACCTCCTCAATGATTTTCTGTATTCTACAAACCAAGATTTGTGCTTATTGATACCTTTCTTCAAAAATCATTGAACAAAATTCAGTTGACTAGAAGCTAGTTCTAGGCATAGACCTATGTGAATTAACTTAGTGCTGATCACTCTCTTCAATATCATAGTTAATTTCATTCGAAGGATTAATTCTTGTATTATTCAACTAGCTGTTCAAGTATTCAACACTTTTTAAAACAATACATGATTTATGAGTAGTTGCAAACATTCATACATTATTAATGATTTATTTCAACTAACCTCAATTAGATCATCATCTCGACGATTAGTTTCAAAATATCTATTTAGTTGACTCTGTAATTTGTTTATCCTTCTCTTCGTGGTTTACCATAAGGATTATGTTTTCAATGTGAATGTTGTTTAAATATTTTTCGAAGAATTTTCTTCATTATGTTGGCATATCTGGTTTTCAGGTTTCTTTTCAACTTGGACAAGTTACAGTGAAATATGTTTATGTTCTGGTTCTCTGAAGATATATCTAATTAGATCGAAAGGATTCCTGAAATGCATGACATGAAATTTTGTTTTCGTTGGTTTGAGAGAAAGCAAAGTGCTGGAGGAACAGGAAAACGTGTAGGAAATTAAATGTAGCGAATGTGTTTCTGTATTTAAGAGCGAAACACCTTGACAGCCATACAAAAACTATTGGGCAGAGATTCATATTGATTTAGTTTTGATATTTTTATGATTTTAGCTACTGGCGTGAATAAATTCGGACCGGTTTCCCAGCTTGATCGTTAGGATTATGATAATTTCAATTCTTCAGATTATTTTAAATAAATTTATAGATCTAAGGTCTTCTTCATACATGGCACTGAATTTCTATTGAACTATTCGATGAAATTTTGACAAATTTTCAAATATCTTTTTGATCATGTGAAAAAATAATCTATATTGTACTACTGTATACATACTTACTTACGCCTGTTACTCCTTGTGAAGGAACATAGGCCGCACAACAGCATTCTACATCCAACCCTGTCCTGGACAATTATTTCCAGCTCTTTCAAGTTGTTATTCATCCTTTTCATATCTGCTTCTGTTTCCTAACGTAATGTGTTCCTTGGTGTATCTCTTTTCCTTTTCTCTTCAGGACTCTAAGTTAGCGAATGCCTTGTGATACAGTCTGATGATTTTGGTGGAGTTTTGTTCGTTGAGCTGGATGGTTTGGTCGTGGAGCTTTCATCGTCCTTCTGAAGGACATCATCAGCACAAACTTCAAATAAAAGTGAAGTGTTTGGATTTCTCCATATGTGTTTCAAAGCTTGTTCTGTGCACCTCGATGTTGATTGGTTCTTATTGACCTTAAATTCGTCATTGTTTACTTTTTTGTTTTGGTTGTGTCTCCCGTTGTTTTGATTTTTGTTCTTATGTTTGTGCATGATTTTTCTGATTGGTTGATAAGTTGGATTGATTTCAATATATAAACCATCCAGCTCAGAGAACAAAACTCCACCAAAATCATCCACCTGAGCTACAAATCTTCTCCACCATCTCAAGTCTGATGATTTTCTCAATTTATGTCGTATCCACTTCCAACATCTTTCTCTAATTTCCTCTTCATCAGGAAGCTGGTTTGTCCTCTCCCATAGTAGACTGTTGCTGATGGTATCCGTCCAAAGGACGTTGGATATCTTGTGTAAATACCTATACTTTTTTATGATGGTTGTGGTAGTTGTCCAAATTTCAGCTGCGTACAATAGAAATGTCTTGAGGTTCGTATTGTTTGAGAGACATTTGTTTTCAGTTCCAGATGTTCTTCAACTATAGTAACATTGTCCTTGATTTGCCAATCCTGACCTTTAAGTCTGCATCCGATCCGTCTTGTTCGTCGATAATGCTTCCCAGGTACGTGAAGAATTCCACATCTTCCTAACATGTTATCAAATATACGTTTATTAATTTCTCCCAATTACACTCAAATAATAAACATCTACTGAATGAATGTGAATCACAGTCACTTTGTGCACAACCTTAATGTGAACAAATTGCAATATATTACGATTTAAAACATATGTTACTGAGTGGTATTTTTTGCAACCGTGGTAAAGCTGAAAGTGTTCAAGAATTTATTTGTTGAATAAATGAAATATGATGTAGTCACAAATTTATAATTACTTATCTTCTAATTTAGAGTTATACAAGAAAATTGAGCGAATGGATTATATTTTGATGTACTGTCACAAATACTATTAATCATGGATAAAGACAAGCAAAATTAACTGAAACACTTACATACATACGCTTGTTACACCTCGTGGAAGAGAAAAGGCGGCTAACCACCACTACCCATACAACTCTGTCCTGAAGAGTTCCACTCAACTGACTGTTTAACTATGTCCTTTGGTTCTTCTCTCAAATGCTTACAATAACTTTAGGATTTATCTTTTCGTGAAGTAAACGATTTTGTAATCATTCCCTGTAGGGAAATCGTTACTCATAATGTTTAATTTTTTTATATAAACATTGAAACTTTTCTCTTGAGAAAATATTCCCTTAAAAATATGTCTAAAACTTTGACGTCACAATATTTTAATACGAAAAGGGTGTAAGGTATGAATATTGAATGCATGAGTTTTCATTAAATAGCATTCTGGTCTCGTTTGTGGCACGATCAACCGTATTCTAATTTACATTGACTTACATGATTCAGTAGCAGGATTAAACATCAATAATGTTAACCATCATTTGGTGTAACAGTAGCAAGTAAAAATACATACACAAACTCACAATGTCATCCAGAAAGACAGTGAAAGCTTCATTAATTGCACTATGAAGCTCAGAAAAAACACAACACATGCAAGCTCCTCCTGAGGTACACTTTGTCATTTTTTTCGGTGTGCTCAAGAAAAAATATAGGGATAGTAGAGAAAGACCTTCAATTATACGAATACTTAATGATATTCTGGTTGACGTAATTAAACAAGAACAAAAAAAATTCAGTTTTGGCAACTTAAATATTTAAAATGTACCAATTTACTACTCGTTAGTAGTTCGTTTAAAATAGTGGAGGAAGTATGAATTGGAATGAAGTGAAACTTCGTAAACTGTATAATCCATGTTAACTTTCCTGATATACTTTACCATAACTCTATTACCTTGAGATGAAATGAATACTTCCCACATCACGACTAAACAATGACATCGTGCTGATAAATCAGTAACCGGACGATGTTTGAAAGTAACATAATACATTTAGGATTTCAACCAGAGTATTGAGATTGATTGATCAACTATGTTCAAACTCGTAATTTAAGAACGTACTTGTAGCTTCCCTGCTAACCAGCGTACAACTTTGTGATACGGTGAAGTGATCATTGATTGGATAAGTCTAAGAGGGTTGTAACGTTTGTGAACCTTTAGTAAACCATACATATGAGGCAAACGTGAGCCGCGAGATCTTAGATTATGCTTACAATAATAACTGGGAGAAAAACTGATGGACGATGAAAAACTTTTAAGACCAGACTGCTACACACAGAAATTTACTGACAGATGTAAAAAATCTAAAGAAAACAAGACGGGTAGGACTATAGTCAATAAAAAACCAATCCCTATAAATCTCAACTTCAAAGTTGATGACGTAGCTACCACAATCAGCAAGAAGCTTTACACTGTATTAGCCGAAATTTACCTGGCAGCCGAGCTATGCATTTTGTATAAAACAACAGGCTCAACAATCCAATCAAGGGTCGATAGCATCCCCTTCATGTTATCGCCAACTGCGTTTATAAATTTAGGTGTACCTGTCAAAGCAGATATGTTGGGAGAACAGGAAGTAGGACATATCTTAGATTTTTCGAACATGTTCGAAAAAGCATTAGAACAAGTAAAAGAACGATTTTAAACAGTGTAATCAATAAACATGTCTTGGATACAAGACATCAAGTAGTCCTTCAGAGTGATAAATAAACACCCAAACTCCAGTCCTCCGAAGCTGTTGCTAATAGGCGTCAAAAACCCGATGTTCAAAAGATGGTTATTAATCTTTCCTTGCCTTCGTGATAAATATTCCTTTATTGCATCTTAGAAAACTTATTTTCAACTCTTCCATCTAATTACATCATTTTATTTCGACAGTCTTTTAGCTTAATAATCTTATTTTATTAACTGAATTTAACTAATTCTATTCTTGCTTATTTATCGGCGTTTACTCATTACGTAACCACATGATTCTAGCCCTTTGGACTCTTGTTACAACCAATGTTGTAGAACGTTCTTTTGGATGATATATATATATATATATAATATCTTATTCAGCCTATTAAGTTTATTTACATCCTTGCTATAATAAACTGATGTCTTCAAAATAACTTACAACTAAAATCTTTCATGTACTTTGAACCCATTTTGTAATTATGACTTTTAAATATCTCAGGTTGCAAGAAGCTGGCGAGAGCCAAACAAAATAAGATGAATTCATGTTATTCTGCTAAAATACGTGTTCTTGCTCTCTCCAAGATGATAAATGGAAATATGTGTATAAAATTTCTCGCAAAACGCCTTCCTGCACAATTTTTTTTAGGTCACTGAATCACTTTGTGACTACGCGGCAGATATTTTTTGACTGATACACCGAAAGTGATTAAACGGTTTGAATGCACGAACAATTTTGAAGTCAGGTACAGAGTGCTAAACAGAAGTGTTAAGTCACTTGTTAAAATTTTATGTATTACTTGGGACTGTTTCCCGCCTACAATAGAAACTGGCACAGAAGTAAACTGGGAAGAAATTATGAGTAGTTAAACAGAGATATAGCACTATCCTATACTCTCTATTCTTCGTTCTCATCTGTCAAAAATAAAGAGAAGAAAAATTGACATCCCGGATTATGTATTTTATTTAAGAAACAAAAGATGTAAAACTGAATATTCTTTTAAAATGCAAAAATGGGCAGAATTACTTAACTAATCTACAAACTAATGTGATTTTATTGAAATAAGTTTTTGCACACACATACACCAAAACTATGAAATTTAATCTACGTACATTTATATATGTAAATATGCATTAAGACAAAACAGTAATAATACAAGTGTAATGTGTACAAAACTTCTTTTTTCAGTCAACGTATACAAAAGACATTATTATGTAACTAAGAATGTTCATCTAAACTATGATACATAAATTATAAACACAATGTATATGTATATAGGAAAAAAAAGAAAATAGGAAGACTAATAGTTAGTATACAACAAGAGTTTAATTATATTGTAGTAATTTTGGTATTTACTGAACTAAAATTATATATGTATGCAACACGAAAAACAAACAACGTTTTGAATTGAATTCTTATTTGTATTCATTCGTCCTAAAGCAATTATAGAAATATAATTGAGATGATTAAAGGGATATTGTATACGGCTAATTTCCATAACAATTGGAGATATTCTGTTCTTAATTTGTTTTTATATTTCATTCTTAAAATAATAATAATTAATTGATAATCATTATTAGTAAGTTAAATCAATTCAAAACACCAACGTTACTCTACAATACTGGAATTACAGGTTTGTTCACATCACTATTATTTAATGAGGTGGGAAAAGATTTCGACGATTTATTATCATTAGATGATGTCAACAGATGGATATCATTTTTGGACTGCCGAATTTTATCACATATAACAACATGGGATTCTGTAAGATCAGATTTATTACTTGACAGATTTTTATCTTCTTTGTGACCATGTTGATTGTCATCTTTTCCTCTGAAGCGTATGGGGAAGAGAAAAACACAGATTTAATACAATGAAATATTTAAAAAACAACAGTTAAAATCAATCACGTCTAAGACAAATATGCATTACTCCTATGAATGCTGGAATTCGATATCTGAAGAGAGGAGAAAAAACAATGCATCTGAGCCACTGCGACAGATCTTGAGCCATATCAACCCTTAGGTAATGTTTCAATTCGACTGTCCCTAAATTTCTTCAAACTTATTCTTATACCAGCTAATGTCGCTGACCAATGAGGATAGCAGTGGTTAGGCAAACATCACACAAATAGTAAAGTGATCGTGACTGAAATTAAATACAAAGTGGAACAATGACAAAATTATAGCAGTGAAATATGAACCATGGATCAAATTAATGAGTTTTGAAACTAATTCGAGGCTGATAAGAAAAATAATTAAATATAATTTGAAATAATGAGTACCTGTAAATCTTAACGAGCCATTGGTATATATTACTTTTGGACTGTAAACCACTTCACTTTAGAGTGAAACAATAATCAGCAGTACGTCAAAAGTATTAAACGAAATACAAAAGGATAATATTAAGTATGTTAATGACGAATAGATGACATGTGGCTAGTAATGGAAGCCAGGACGCAAATTTCGTCCTATTTGGGACTTGTCAAATGGATGTCCCTGCATCCTTGAGTTGACGTTCACTCCACGACTCAAACGCAGTACGCTCCCTTTCAATGACGTCTTATCCATTTAGCTACTGAGTCTATTTATTCCATATTAACTTCTGTCATAATAGCTATGTGAAGTTAGACTGTACAAGATGCACATATCGAAAACCAAAACAGATCAAATTTCAGTCGAAATATTAACAATGGGATAATTCAATCAAATTCAAATTCAATTAATATTAACTGCGTGTGATAGTTATTTTTCAAAAGAAACAATCACTATTATATGATGATAAAATCAAGGCGTCATGCATATTAACAACTATTAATGAATGAAATAAAATTTATAATACAAATTAATATGAATTCAGCGCATTTTCTGACCAAAAACACATTGTTGGGAATGCTAGATTCGAATATTTTAATTTCACACCGAAAGAGCCTATTCTTACATTCAATTTTGTTTCTCACCTGGGAGGACTTTAAATGCAATTAGTTCGTTTCCTTTTATAGTACGCTATTTTGTGACGCTTTCTACGGACATTTTTTGTACTGTATATATACACATGAGTTGTGTGCCTGCTGTTCTTTCTTCCGGGTTGCTTGTGGAATTACATATTTACCCAGTTGAACATGGTCTTCCCTTAATTAGCAAGGCTGAGGTGCAGTCGAATAGCTTAGCTTGTCCTGTTGTTATGTTGCTGACCTTCACTCCGTTGGCCAGTCCTAGGTAATATCTTAATCCCTCTAACATAGTACCTATACAAACCTACACTAATTCCAATTGTAACGATAACTAAAATAATTTTCTTAGGCTTACCTTATTTGTATAACTAATATTCCATTTACACGATTGAGAGTTTCTAAAATTGAAGAAACAGTTGGCATAGGCAAAGTTAATGAACCACCACTACCCCCAGTAGCGTTGACATTCCCATTAACACCACCACAGAATGCATTTGATAAAACTGCCTTAGCAACAAGTGATTCACTGATAGAAAGATGATTGTTAGTTGAATGTGAATTCAAATGACCAGTGGACGAAGAAGAATCACCACTTCCAATTGACTTTGTTGTGGAGGCAGTTGCTGTGAGTTCAGCTACTTTACGTGCAATTGTCACAGCTTGTTGGGTAAGTTGTCGCAAACATTCATCACTATCTTTAGTATAATCGCTATCTGGACCTAAACGTTCTTTGTATATTAGAAAACGACGTTTTTCATAATCAAGAGCAGTACGAAAATCGCCGCGATAGGTATACGTAAGACTGATTAAATGACAAGTGAAAGCTTCTTTCAAATTTCGTTCACCATAAAATCTAAAACATGAAAAATCATACTTAGTGAATGTTATATGCGCATTGAATACTTTAAATTTATTAGATAATAAGAAACTTTCGACAACAGTGAAGTTTTCTTTTATTTAGCTAGAAAACTGACTTTACTCAACGAATTAAATCATATTTGTCTGCAGTATGTGACTTTAATTTGTTAAATAATTTCAACAGTTAACAAAATCAATTATTTTGAGAAATTATTTTACTGCAATCAGTAAAGATGTGAGCTACGCAGTCAACAGTTAGGTTTAACTGACTGTTTTTAATTACTTAGTTCGAGGGGAAAATTCCTAGAGTAATGACACCATCAAAGTGAAATTTTGCAATTTTCTTCTTCAAGTAATTAAGATAGCCGTATGATCATAAACCATGAGCTCAAGACAAATGAACCTACAAAGATTGACATACACAAGTGGAACAACTTTACGAATAAGAAAATGATCTGTGTCAGTAAACCTTCATTGATAAGCAGACAAGAAAATTGATCGAAGAGAAAAAATCTTTTTGGTTTATTAAAATCACTAAATGCCAAACAAACTAATTGTCAATTTACTTTTAAGTTATATTTCAAGTTAAGATAATAAATAAGGTTTTAAAGACGTGAACTAAATCAACTTACAATTTAATTAAAGATAATGCATTCTCGAAAAAGATTAAAGCCAAATCTAATTCACCAACCAACTGTAACATTAAACCGATATTAGTCTAAAATAATAAAGAATAATGAACCATAGGAGTTCAATTCAAATCAAATAACAGAAGTTATAATACAAAATAAGATGATTAAAAAGAAAAACAACCTTTAAAATTAACTAGTACTGTAAATAAATGGTAGTTGAAATGTTGTTATGATCTGTCTTATTATGATTCAGCTACTACTTTTATTGTTCGGACAATCTACTTCATTCAACAATTCCTCAAATCGGAACAGGAACGCAATTATATTCTAAATAAAAAAAATTGCCGAATGAAAGTAGGAATCACTATAAGAAAAAAGTTAGTATGTTTATAATTTTTACACGAAACAATTCTAGAGTATCCGTTAGACCTGATTAGCTAAGTAGTCAATTAACGTGATCCAGTTCTATAACAGTCTATAATAAATAAGAGTGAATTTTAATCGCTATTACTAAACCATGATATTATTTTTTAAAAAGGGACAGGTAAAAAACAACTGTGAATAACAGTTATGATGAACATTCTGAAACACGAAAAATAAATAAAATAAATAGGGCTTACGTCTATTTGTGTTATTTCAGGATGACATTCACCATGGCATAAGAGTGCTATGTAACGAGCTCGATAAAGTAATTGTAAAGCAGTAGATATATGTCCACAAGCGAATACATAAAGTGAGAAATGTATCTACATGATGGGAAGAAATAAAGTAATTGGAACAAATCAATAAAAATCTATAAATTACAGTATGCAGTATACTTGTTGATTAATCGGTTAGTAAGTGGATTACAGAATTAAGTTACAGTTCATTAAGCCAATTAAGTTGATTTGAGAAAATTATTGAGAACGATGAGTTCATTGAACTGATAAAACCCCTGGGTCGAAATACACAACGGGGCATATACAAAATACGTTTTCATTTACCACACTTTGATCAGATGACATTAGTTATTAAATGTACATTGAAAGTGCTTAAGAGTAAAAATAGAGGAAATGAGTTTTCTAATGGCCGTTAGCATAAAAAGAAATCGGTCAGTAAACTAGCATCTATGGTAAACGGATATTAAAGAATCATGAATGTGAAGCTAGAGTTTTTATACCATAACAATTAGGTAATTCTCATAATTAATAATAATAACATAAATATCATTGCTAGTTAAAACATTTAGAAATATTTTATTGAACAACTTACCAATTGATATCTTCAAATTAACTCATCAACAACACGAAACTAAACTAAGCAAGACGTATTCATACAAGCTGGCCCATTAATATTTCAGATAAGAGATTTTTTACAATTAAGCCGTGACCAATGGAGTCCAATCAGTGTCGGGTATGAGACAGTTATCCGTTTCAGATAATGAATGAAGGGTTGCGCAAGATCATGAATCGATTGGAGTTAGACATTAACACTGTTGGATACCTGATCAGTGGTCTACAGGTTAAGCGTCCATGCGTCAGACCGAAGGTCCCGGGTTCGAGTCCAGTGGTTCCAGGTTTTAAATACTCGTGAATTAAACTGTTAAAATACTGAAACCCCTACAGATCCCCCTTACTGATAGTTAATCATTAGTGCTTTTGTTGTTGTGTTGGGGATGCTAGATTCATAGAACTTACTTCGTAAATGTCTTATTAATGTAATTTTATTTTCGAAATTTGAATTTTTTTCTTACGCGCCAAAAGCGACCGTTTTCACCTCTATATCATATTTGCCACTTGAGAGAACCTTAAATGTCATTGGTTCGTTGTCTCTTTTAATATGCTATTTTGTAACGTTTCCCAAGGACGTTTTATGCTATATATTTATATACACTTCAGTTGTGTTTATTGTTGTTCGTGCTTCTGGCTGCTTGTGGAATACATTTCCCTCTTCTGAACGTGAACTTCTCGCCCTAGTTATCGGGCTGGGACGCGACGCATCAGAACAGTCAACTTATCTGGTCATTATGTCGCTATGTCATTAAGTCTTCGTTCCGTCCGCAGATTTAGGTGAACTCGTAACCTCTTCAAACTTAGCATGTTGTACATTTATTATACTCATCATTAGTTTTTACATATTAAATTTTCTGGGAAAAAAGTCGATTCGCAACAATATAAAGAACCTACATATTCAGTAGCTGTATTCGGATTATCAATTCCGTGTACACGTTCACTAATCATTGTAGCACGATGCTGAAATAATAATGCAGCTTCATGTTCACCCATGACATATGATAAACGAGCTAAAAGACGATTACAAGCACCAATATCAGGATGAAGAGGACCATATACACCATTCAGAAGACTTAAAGCTTCATTAATTAACTCAAATCCTTCTTGAAGATGACCAGCAGAAATTCGAGCTTGACCAGTTGTAAAATAATGATAAGCATCAGTTGCATGAGGATGTAAATGTTTCACTATTGGATAAAGAGATATTATATCTTCAGTATTAAATACCGGTTTTTGATGATGTTTAGCACCATTCGGCAGATTGAGATTATACTCGCGTAAAAGTAGCTGAATACCAACAGATGTACAAAATGTTCTAAGAAGCTGAATACGTTGAACTTCATAAATCTTACAGAATTCATCAATGTCTAACCTAAAAATGGATAGATTGGAAGAAAAAAATCGATTATTAAAAACGATAATAATTATAAAATATGTACTATATATATATATATATATATATATATATAAAACGTTGTCCGATATGTGTGCGAAAAATGTAAACATATACAAAGGTTAATTGAATTACAACTTCGATGAAAGGATTGATGGTCAAAAATGTTAAAAATGACTGTTGTTTTTTATTTAAAAAAAAGCTGAATGCATTATCTGACCTAATTAGAATGTGAAGAACAAGCAATGAGGGATTAACAGAAATCGGGGAAAATTTAAACCGTACAAAACTGATGCATAATGTGAAAGATTTCATTAGATAAATTAGTTAACGTGATAGATTTAATTTGCTTCGACAACAACTGTTGCTTGTTTTTAATTTTCATTGTTAAATTTTCATAATAAATGCCCAGACTAAGGAGTATTTGTTACCTAATTATTAAGTAATGATAGATAGTATCCTATGAAGTTTTGAAATCAGTGTTCGTTAAATGTATTTGAAACTAAATGAAAATTTATAGTTGTGTAATTGTAAACATATGATTAAAATTACTGCTTAGTGCCATAAGATTTTACACAACCTTTCATTACAGAATTATTTAAGGCGATAAACAATCTTTTATATTAAAATCATGAATCGATAAGTGGTAGACCACTATTGAAAACTTGGAAGCACTGGATGGTCGTCTTGTTCTAGTATGAGACATCGCAGTAGTGCGCATCCACGATCCTACACGCGGGATTCGAACTCAACATCTTAGGTCTTACGCATAAACATGACCTCTGGACCACTGAGCTGGCAAACTAAGGTGTTAGTGTCCAATCTACGATGGTGATCTGACATTCATCGGTTCACGATAAAAATGAAATTCAATGATTCACACAACACCAAACTGAAAATCTTTTACATGAAAAATTACACATAAAAATTGTAGTGTGACCATAAGGAAGAAAACCATTCAACAAGTACTAAAATCACTATGAAACTTTAAATAGTTCATAGTCGTAATTAATTATATAGTTCGAATTTTCTGTATTTATGCTTGCATTCAAGGACAATAAGATGATAATGATAATAAATAATAATAGTAATAATAAACTAAATTACAAAGGCCTATTCAAGGTATTATACAATGTTGGCGTTCATTAAGGGACTAGCTGTTATCAGTTGAAAAACAACAATCGATATGGGTATTCAGAACAGTTAATATTCGTAAATTACCAGTATTTGATCAAAAATGTCTTAGCAACATCTCCCGTGTATTATGGGACCACCGAGTGAGCAGTGCTGAGATTATATATAGGAGTATTCGGTAAAGATGCCAAATTAGTTGATGTGTTGACTCATTATCAACTCACGTGGATGAAATATGGTGCTACGTAGACCCGATCACCGCCTACTTCGACGTATGATGTCATCTGGTGTACTAGATTAGAAGAACGTTAGGGGAAAAGAAACGAGACGCAGCAACAGCTCAAACTAGACAGTGACTACTGGACAGTCATGTAGGTAGGTGCAGACAACCTAGTAGGAAGTTTATTGTAATCAATGGTCGGAGATCACAGGTGACATAGTTTGCAACGACAAAGATGAATTTGCTTTTCTTTTTCCTTAGATTGTACGTCGCCTTAAGAAATTTTACTTCAAGAATCCATGGCTGGCTAACTGACTAAGTCGAAATTGTAGTCGTTTCTGACTAGAACGATTAACTTACGCAGTTATTTGATAATGATAATATTCCTTAGCTTCTTTAATTATTTCAGACCATAAACTGGAATGTGTTTCATTAAGCCATGCCATTTCTTCTGTTAAGTGAAAGGAATAAAACAACAAAAAATTGTTAGAAACACCATGTTAAACAAATTCAATTATTTATTTTCTGTATAAAGTATACATAGAATGAATAATTTTCTATTGAATCACAGATTATATATAAGTACAGTGTTAAATATACATTCCAACAATTTAAACGTATAGAAGTTGGATATACTCAAACAAATTATGAATTTTAGTAAGCTAGCTCACATTTAAATGTAGAACTACAAAGTTAAGGAGAGCATTAATTGTCGAAATTCCAGCAACACAATACATTATGATGTAATACAACTGCTTTAGGGTATTTATACACAAATCCATCGATTAGACTGTGGAGACACAAATAACCATACAGTTTATAATGTTACTGATAACACGTAAAGGTGGCAATATAGAAGTATATGTATACGTAAAAGTCACTGTTCACTAATACTGAATTTTGTTACGTGATAATTGTAATACCAATTGTCTATAATTTGAGATTACCGTATAGCGTATATGAAATACAAATTTATGAAACTCAATACAAACAAACCTGGTGATTCACGAAGATTTTTCAATTTCTTCTTATTCTTTTTATTACGATTCAGTTTGAGGACTTGCTACCATTGAAGTAAAAAAAGGACGAAATAAAATCATTTGTGTTAAATTACCGATTTAGAAGATATAATATCATAGAGTGTAGCATAGCATTAGATTAACGAAAATAATTGACCGTTGAACGCATATATTGGAAAATAATATTAAAAATAGTAATGATAATTCAAAATTGCTTATTAAGATGCAGAATTTTTTTATATAAAATAGATTGGATGTGGCGAAAAGTGGAATCCAAGATGCACGTTTCGTCCTATTTGGAACTCGTTAGCTGTATGAAACGCGCGCGCTGGATTACACTGCTCACCACATACAACCTATTTTACATAAACTTGTGCCATAATGGCTATATTGAGGCGATCCACACAGGATGTAGATACTCCAACTAAGAGGGATCAAATTTCAGTCAAACTATTAACAATTAGATAATCAAAACGATTACAAATTAATTATGAAACTATTAAATCTCATCATATTAACAAGTAATTAATAAAGCACTATTTAATACATTTGCTAAGCAGAACAGGATTACATGTAATAGCAAACACACACACAGTTAACTGAATGCAAGTACGCGCACAATTATCTTAATTCAATTAAACAAATATACTCACCTCATCAATCCCAAGTAACGGTGTAAGATTAGGACATGCTGTTAGAAAACAGTTGAGAAAATGAGCAACCCCAACAGAAAGAAGCATAGGATCAACATCTTGAAGATATGTTTTAAATAAATGTTTTGCAGACCGTAACAAGACTTCGCAAATAGCCATTTTCTAGATAAAACAAGAGAACATAAACATACAATAAAACGGTTAATGTAACCTGTTGCACAACATTAAGTTAAGAAAAATGAGAATGAACAACAGTGACATAACAAGTGAACAATACTGAACATCTTAACAATAAACAAAAAACAGTAACTACCCTAGGAAATTGTGATGCCAACCCACTCTCATTGAAATCTAATCTGGTAAGGAAAAGTACGTCTGGATCATAAGTTCATGAACTTATTTATTGTAGTGAATTTACAAGCAAACTCATCTTCACTACAACAAAAACTACTGAAGATTTTACATTTTTCGATAACACTTCAAATAAACACATTTATGACAAGTAAAATCATAATTAATTATATGTTAGTCTAGCGAAGTATTTTGTAAATTCCCAAAACTCGATCTACATAAAAATTATAGTTTGTCAGAGCATTATGATGTACAGACTCGTCCGTATGAATATCATTGACAGTCAAAGAACAGGTGTGAAATTTAATTACTAATTGGTAACTTAGCCAACTCAATTTTTCCACCTGAACAAAGAATTCCAGTTTACAAGGGAACAATTAACATCTAACAAACGAACATGATGATTGTAAGCACAAAAAAGCATAGCAAAAGAGATGAGTATCAAAATTCGCAATATGCAACTACGTGAATAATAATAATAAGAAAAGAACCGAATTAAAAACATGATAATATGATATTCTTGTTCTGTACATTAATATTTAAGATATGGATGGGTGTATATGCTCACTTTGAGATAACCTAACGACTGGTGAATACTGACTGATTCGATTACACGATTCAAATAACGCACATTAATGCCACTACAAAAGAAAAAGAAACAAGGAGAATTATTCTAGAATAGAACAGCTGATTCAAGCATTTTGGAAATTTATTTCAGTTAACATAATGCAATCTGTAGTGTAATTTAAACGGTTTCTGGGTAAGACAACATAAAAGTAAAAATCATATGGCTGCAGTCAACATCAATCATCTGAATAGCTTGTTAATCATATTGCACTGTTAACAAAAATAATGATGTCATATACCGCAACGTTTGTTAAACCTAAAGATTCACTGCAAATGCATTAAATAAGTTAATTATATTGAAAAATTAAGTAGTCATTAACATGTTCTTTAATTGATTACAATAAATGCTGCACAAGACCTTTTAAAGTATGTTCTGTTATGAAAATAAAATAAGGCTATCAAAGTCTACAGCTAAATAGTCATGTCATTTTTCAACAAAACTCTCAGATAACGAGACTAGTAACTTATCATAAACGAGACTATTTCTTTACTGTGAAGGCAAATCTACCAATATCCTTTTTTTTCAATTTAAGACGACCATTAGGACATAGAATATTTTATGCAAACAAACTAGAATTCCTAATCATGATCCAAAACTCTCATATAGTAATAAAAACTAGGTGGTCAAATATTAACACCACTTAACTTACCGCTGATGCATTAACTCTATCAAAGCTCTACCATCTTGCGGAGTGATACACAAATTTAACGCGTCTCTAACAAATGCTGGAATTTGTTTTAAAACCAGAAATTCGCAAGCACTGCATACTAGTTCTTGATCAACTGTTAGTGATTGTTCCTAAAATGCAGAAGAGTACATTTCTGTCTGAGACATGTATAGAAATTTAATCAAAAAAAGTGAATTCCGAAAAACAAACACTGACCAACTGCCGGGTGATATGAATACATGAAGGATTAAAGGCCATTCAGTGAAGTAAGTGACATGAATGAGTTAATTATTACATGATATATTAACAGCTGGGAATATAAATGAAAACTCAGCCTGTAGCTCTTCTAGAGTTACTGCCGGTCCCAAGCCCGGGTAAAGGAGGAGGGTTGGGCATGGGGTTAGCGTCACCATCCCGTAGAAAACTAACTCGCTAAAAAAACGCTTACCAGAAAAAATAATCCAAACCATTTTAACTCTGCCCTAGGAGTTAGAAGGTCTTCATTTAGAAGAATTATGACGCCTCATGGTGAAAGCTGAGTTCCTTCAAAAGCCACTAAGCCGATGCCACTTCTAACAACCAGAGCAACAATTTTTATAGATACATGGAACGTCCGAACAATGTGGGAGACGGGGAAGACCAGTCAAATAGCAACGGAAATGAGGAGATACAACTTGGCAGTACTGGGAATCAGCGAAACCCATTCAACCCCAGCTGAACAACAAAGGCTAAATAAGGGAGAGATGCTGCTATACTCCGGTCACGAAGAGGAAAATGCTCCACACACTCAGGGAGTTGCTCTAATGCTGACCAAAGTAGCACGAAATGCACTTGTAGGATGGGAATCTCACGGATCCAGAATCATCAAAGCCTCATTCAAAACAAAGAAGGAGGGGATCACAATGAATATTATCCAATGTTATGCACTTACCAATGATAGCAACGACGAAATTAAAGATCAATTTTACGAGCGGCTGCAGTCAATCATAGAGAAATGCCCAAGAAAGGACCTAACCATTCTGATGGGAGATCTAAATGCCAAAGTCGGAAGAGACAACACCGGATATGAAAATATCATAGGACGACATGGATTGACTGGGAGAGAGAAACGAAAATGAGAAAGGATTTGTAAATCTGTGTGCATTCAACAAATTGGTCATAGGCGGCACAATTTCCCACACAAACGTATACACAAAGCTACATAGATCTCACCGGACCACACCATAGAGAACCAGATAGATCATATTTGCATCAATAAAAAATTCCGAAGGACAATGGAAGATGTGAGAACCAGGGGAGGAGCTGACATAGCTGAAGCTAAAAAAAGAACTGGACAAACAGCAATACAAAGGTTCAATACAGCCTTCCTTCGAGATACTGACAAACTCAATGAATTCAAGATAACTCTCAACAACAGATTCCAAGCCTTACGGGATCTACTGAAAGAAGAAGAAACTACTATGGAAGACAACTGGAAAGGTATCAAAGAAGCATTAACTTCAACGTGTCAGGAGATTCTGGGTCTCAAGAAGCATCATCATAAGGAATGAACCTCCATAGAAACACTGGACAGAACCAAAGAAAGGAAGAACAAGAAGACAACAATTAACAACAGCCGAACACGAGCAGAGAAAGTCTAAGCACTAGCTGGATACATAGAAGCAAACAAGCAAGTGAAGGGGAACATTAGTGCCAACAAGCAGAAATACATGGAAGAACTAGCAACGACGGCGGAAAACGCCGCAGGAGAAGGAAATATGAAACAGCTTTGCGATACAACGATGAAACTAACAAGGAAAACACAGTAAACCAAAGAGACCAGTCAAAGAAAAAGAAGGCAAGCCAATCACTGGAATTCAACAACAGCGGAACAGATGGGTAGAATACTTCGAGGAACTCCTGAATAGATCGGCCCCAACCAATCCACTGGACATCGAAGCAGCACACACAGGTCTCCCCATAGACGTCGACCCACCAACGACGAAAATCCGAATGGCCATCAGACAAATCAAGAACGGGAAAGCAGCAGGACCCCACAACATACCAGCTGAAGCACTGAAGTCAGACGTCGAAGTAACTACAAACATGATTTACATTCTATTCAAAAAGATTTGGGAGGAGGAACAAGTGCTGATGGACTGGAAAGAAGGACACCTCATCAAGATTCCAAAGAAAGGAGATCTGAGCAAATGTGAAAACTACAGAGGCATCACACCACTGTCAATACCAAGGAAGGTCTTCAACAGAGTGTTGCTGAATCGGATGAAAGATGCAGTAAACGCCCAACTTCGAGATCAACAAGCTGGATTCCTCGAGGATCGATCGTGCACAGACCAAATTGCAACACTACGGATCATCGTTGAACAACCAGTTGAGTGGAACTCGTCACTATACATCAACTTCATTGATTATGAAAAGGCATTTGACAATGTAGATAGGAGAACGTTATGGAAACTTCTTCCACATTATGGAGTTCTTGAGAAGATTGTCAACATTATCCGAAGCTCATACGACGGACTACAGTGCAATGTCGTGCATGGAGGACAGCTGACAGATGCATTCCAAGTAAGGACCGGAGTCAGACAAGGTTGTCTACTCTCACCTTTCCTCTTTCTTCTGGTGGTCGACTGGATTATCAAGACCTCGACATCTGAGGGAAAACACGGCATACAATGGACAGCTCAGAACCAGTTAGACGATTTGGACTTCGCCGATGACTTAGCCCTCCTATCGCATACACACGAACAGATGCAGATAAAGACAGCCAGTGTAGCAGCAGTCTGCATCAATAGGCCTCAACATAAACAAGGGGAAAACCAAGGTCCTCAAATTCAAAACAGAGAACAGCAATCCAGTCACTCTTGATGGCGAAACTTTGGAAGATGTAGAATCCTTCACATACCTGGAAAGCATCATCGATGAACAAGGAGGCTCAGATGCAGATGTAAAGGTGAGGATTTGCACAGCAATGGCCGCATTCCTACAATTGAAGAACATATGGAACTCAAAACAACTTTCAACCAATATCAAAGTCACAATCTTCAATACCAACACCAAGGCAGTTCTACTGTACGGAGCTGGAACTTGGAGAACTACAACAACCACAATCAAGCAGGTACAAGTATTTACAAATGGTTGTCTATACAAGATACTCAACGTCCACTGGACGGATACCATCAGCAACAGTCTACTGTAGGAGAGGACAAACCAGCTTCCTGCTGAAGAGGAAATTAGGAAACAATGATTGAGTTGAGTAGGACATAAATTGAGAAAATCACCAAACTGCATCACGAGGCAAGCCCTAACTTGTAATCCTGAAGGGAAACGTTAAAGTGGAAGGTTAAATAGCACATTACGTCGAGAAATAGAAGCAGATATGGAAAGGATGAAGAACAACTGGAAAGAGCTGGAAAGGATTGACCAGGACAGGGTTGGATGGAGAATGCTGGTGAGCGGCCTATGCTCCTTCACGAGGAGTAACAGGCGAAAGGAAACTTTCACTAGGCATATGGTTAATTCGAAACATTTTACAGGATTAGTAGTGAAAAAATTGTACAATATTGTACAAATTACTATGCAAATTTATAAATTACAAATATAATTAATTAAAAAACTACCAGTTGAAATTTAGCTGTTTAAATCCCCGATAGCACCACCCATTTATTGATGACGAATAAACAACATATTTTCATTTACAACTAACGTAAAGTTCAACAGATTGATTAATTAATACATGCTTCAAGATAATCTATACATAGGAAATGTAACTTGAGTGTCACAAAAATGCTTACTTCTGAATCACAAAATTTGACAAATTTCTGATAAATATCAGGATTGAATGTAAGCTCAAAACGATCTGTACTCAGAGAACCGACAGCTGCTGCTGCTTTGCGGATAGCTTCTCGAATTACGTCATCTGAACAAAAATAAGAGTTAAAATATCAAAGAAAAATTACAGGCGTTTAAATAACAAGTTAAAATGAAGAAACAATACTGAAAACCGGTGAATAACAACTGCAATGCTTTATTTAAACAGAACTGATAGAAAAGCTTAACGTTAAGATAAAAAATGTTACTGTCAATGCATTTTTTTGTCTTTGAACCTTAATTTAGCTGGCTGTTCCGAACATGTGAAAATTTGAAAAACAAGTTCCAGATTATATGGATGAACTTATTAGACACGATAGGCTAAACCGATTACCAATTCATCAAAGTAGCCGTTATGGATAGTTTCAGTACATTTTCATATCTTTGTAACGGGAAGCATTTTCTAGTTAGAAATAAGAAAATCTCCACTGAACTATTGAGAATAATTTATTAGCAATGTTATTATCCGGCTGCCCAAACCGATTTAGATGTGTCATAATTCATATTTGAAACCTACTGACTGAAAGCCGCTTGTTTTATTTACTACATACTACTGAAATTGAACTTAATTTTGTTCAGGGACTAAGAATTATTGAAGTCGGGAGTATACTGATAGGTTATTAAATCCTAGGTTAGGCTCCGTGTCGAGGGTTTTGAATGAGGGCTGTTGAAACGTTAGTCTCAAATACAAAAAACACGCATCCAGTCCTCCGTGATGACTAGTGAACTTTGGATATAATAAACCCCGTAAGTCCTCCCCCTCCCTCCACTGTTTCAAACGTAGTTACACAATTTCATCAAGACAAAAAAGTATACTCAAGCTTAAGAAATATACACCCTTTTGCCTGCGAAAATTTGTATTCAAGATAAAAGAGTTAAAACAGAGATAATAAAAATCAATGAAAGTCAAATCACTTTTTTGTGTGTCTTGATCATCTTCTAGTAATCTTTTCATCAGGCTTAAATCATCTGATTGATTCTTGCTTGGAGACTTTATTGTCCCAATCCCTGAGTTCAAAGCATTACTGGAGTGTCCAGTAACATCATGGTGGTCTATTTGGTGTTTGGTTGTAATTAGACTATCTTTGGGAGATAAGGGATCATCATTAGTGTTTGAACAGTTAGCTTGTCCATTTTGCACACTAGCAGCATCCTATAATACATACAAAAAAATATAATTCATGTAAACATGAGTAATATGAATTGCATTTAAAAGCAAATCATAAATGAGACAACAAAACTGATCTGACTAAACAAAAATAACAAGATGCATCGAATCTAATTGTTTTAAAATTTCCTGTCAGCTGCAAGAAGTTTAAAGTGATATACAGAGTAAAGAGATCAGAAAAGAAGAGTTTGAAATAGCTTAGTTCATTAAAAACTGAGATGGATATTCGAAGCAAAACGAGGAATCATACGAGGAGAAAAATGACCAAACATTGTTATTAAGATAGTTAGATACGACGGAGAAGCTCGATAGAAGACTGATTGTTCTGGAGCGCATGTTTAGATTCTGATCATGCTCTAATAAGAGCACATATTTGCTTGTGCCTCACTGGACGCAGAAAAACTACATTAAGACCCACTAGAGTTGAACTCAGTGACAAGACAGTCAAAAGTAGATTAGATTACAGGAACAACCGAGATAATCACTAATTGTCCCAATATATAATAAAGGGTCAAAATCATCCTGTGATAACCATACAGGGATTAGTTTAACATAGCATCTAAAATAATAGCCTCAATAACTATCGGGCGCCTAACAAAGATTCGTGAAATGCAAACACAGAAAATCAGGCTAGCTTCAGACCCGATTGTCACGGCATCAACCAAGTATTCACCATTCGTTAGATTCTATAACATAGGCATGCTGATCGGCATCTGACAACGGTGCTCTTTCTTGACTCTGCAGACCAAGAGGTTCTCTGGCAGTGTCTGTCATTGGAAGGCGTACCTCAAAAGTACATAAACCTTGTGAAGGCTTTTTATTTCGACACCACCAGTCGAGTCAGAGCTTATGGAGAGCTGTCATCTGATTCCGCAAACTCAAGTAGTGACCTGCAAGACTGTCCACTATCTCTATATTTGTTCAACTTCATCGTAGACTTACTGCTGGAAACAACGTTCTCGTCCACTGAATTTCTGAGCATTGATTTCCTACCAGGAAGTCCACTTATCGACTTAGAATACGCAGATGACGTTATCCTGTTTGGTGAAGACGCTGATAAAATACAGAGCTTTTTGGTATCACTGAGCAACAATACCAAGATGTTTGGGATGCTCTTCTCCCACTCCAAATGCAAGTTGTTGCTCCAAGACTGACCTGCGTCAACAACCGAACTAAGGATAGGGAGTGCAGTAGAAAAACGCTCCGACATCTCTACTTATCTTGGAAGTCTGATTAGCCCAAATGCATTGGTGTCTGACGAAATCTCAGCACGGATTCAAAAAGCTCATTTGGTTTTTGCCAACTTACGTGACCTATGGCGAAGGCGAGATGTGCGTCTACCAATTAAGGGATGAGTATACTACGCGGCAGTTCGTTCTGTTTTACTTTATGGCTGCGAAATGTAGCCATTAAGTGTAGAAGATACTTGTAAGCTACTAGTATTTGGCCACAGACGCCTTAGAAATATTGCTCACATCTGCTAAGAAGTGAGGTTTGACACGAAGTATTAAAGAATGATGGTAAATCAGTCGATTAGGCTGTAAATTTTCATCGACTAAGATGGTTCGACCATGTGTCACGTATGCCTGAACACAGATTAACACGACGCGCAATGCTGACTAGTGTTGGAAACGGATGGAAGAAATTTAGGGGCGGCCAAACCAAAACGTGGCATCAGTGCTTGAAGACACTAACCTCTAGTCTGAGCCATGTTGGTAGATGCAGACTACTTGCTTGGGGTCCGCGTGACGATCGTAACCAATGGTTGGAGACTCTTGGTGACATGGCTCAGAATCGATCACAATGGCGTCGGTGTATACACTCTCTGTCTTCCCTTAAACTAGGAGATTAAAATCACTTCATATCTTTCTTTGTACGAACTAATTCTTTCTCCCTGTACTGTATCCTTATATGCGATCTTTCTCCTATATATTACCACCTTTGACCTAACCACTCCTATGAATCCGGTGTTCATCTTGCTGTGCTAATGAGGTGTAGCAGCTTGGATCGATGCATATATGCCCGGTCCTATGTTGCAAATGGCTAACTATTTTCCTTGCAACAACGTAATCTTGTATAAACTAATACTAAACTCTAATAGCAAACCTGATTTGATTTCATTGAGTATGGTTGATAAATTCAATGACGAATGAGCACTTTCTCGTTGGTTTAATTTGGTACAAATTAAATATTGGTACAAAGGGGCACCGAATAAATATGCGCCACACAAGTCACTTGATTTGTGTATGGGCTGTGATACTGCCCGGGTGCCCAGACCGAAGCGGGTGGTTTACTTAGGGGGCCACTTCTGGAACCTTCGACCTGAAGATCTGATCCATAGGGCAGTGGAGCGACGTGAAGAGATGCAGTTCCATGGTGAATGCTCCGTATCCGTCAACCCAGTTAAGACGCGGACATTCGCTTTTCGTCCTCTCAATTTCGTAAACACCCTGGCAGCCGCTGTATACTCGTGGTCATGTGAGAGCATTTCGAGAGGGTGAGCGGACTCTCCCCACCCTCGGTCGTACAAAGGCATTTAGGGTGGTCATCAAAACGACCGATTAATGGATGACAAATAATGTAAGACCTGAAATAATGTCAATCAACGTAAAATAGCAAAAGGAAAAATGAAACATGTATAACTGAAAAAATGGGAAAATGTAGACGCTTCTTACCTGATCATCACATTCACCTTTTAAGGAAGATTTACCCTTCTGAATCTCTAGAGCAGCCAGACGTAGAAACTTTTCATAACGATGGCTATGTACAGAGAGAAATTGAAAAAAAATAGCAGTTAAAACCTGATGAAAGTAATATGGTAGTCAATGTACTTTTCACGGGAAAACCACTAAGTTACATTCAGCTAACGATTCCGAAATAGGACGAAACGCGTTCTGCAATCCACTGCTAGGCACCATCTATATTTGCTTACAATACTTGTGTGTTAAGGCAATATCGAGGCGATCCGCATAAGATGCACATATGCCAATAAGAGATAGATGAATTGCAATCCTAAACATCAATGAGAGGACTCAAATAACCAATACAAAAGTGAATTTACCAATAAGGTATGGTTATTTCGTTAGCAAGATACTAACTAATCTGTAATCACTTCATGTCTGAGTTTTACGAGATGCAAAAAACTACAAGTTGGAAACCTAATCCTATTTATTTATTACTTAAACAAATAAACATTGGTACAAGGAGGCACCAAGTATATATACGCCCAACAAATCATTTGACTTGTGTGAGGACTGAGGTACTGCTCGACTGCCCAAACGGAAGCAAGTGGTCTCATTAGGGGACCACACTCCAGTGATCTAGTTAATAGAGCATCAAGGATAGAAACTACATTGCAAGTAGCTTGGTTCAACCACCTAGCTGTTACAAAGCAATAGATTCCTGTATTAATTATCTTCAATAGCAGGTCAAGACAAGAAAGGAAAACCAGTATTCTACTCTTAACAAACAGATGTTAAGAAACATCATGGCGAGTACATGACGGCAACACGATATTTACGCGTCAATCAGCTTAGTACCAAAATCCATAATAAATAATGATTTGTAAAGGAGTGTTATGTGTGTAGTTACCAAACATAAATAGATAAATATAGTCTTACTCAAAAAATGCCTCGATCAACTCTTGTCTTAAAGTCGCCAACATATGTCGGTGTTGATAAGGATAACCTAATTTCACCAATTCAGGAGACAATTGAGGTCGTATATCACTACCATTATCTAAATAGTTTAGATCTGGTGGGAAAGTACGTAGTAAATCCAGAATATAAGTTCGATTATCATTTCCAACAATTCCTTTACAATCCACAGATGAATATAACTGTATTGCATCACCTGACTGATTGACAACCCTGTTAATTTAATTAATGAATTTTAAAAAGCGCTTAAAATAAACTAAACAAAACAAATAACATAATTATGCCAGTATTATTGTTATTATCCGTTATTAACACTACTATAAACAGACCAAACTAAAGACTACAGAGGACTATAAGTAATCTGTAAGATTGACTAAGTGGGATTATCTAAACTAGACATAAAATAAAGTTTGAGAAAGATTTCTTTATCGAAAAATAAATACTGAGATGTGCATTGCATAGCTCCAAAACCAATAAAATAAGAACCCTTCATGCTCCAACTATGATTTTAAGTAATATATTGTTTTAGGTTTTTGTAAATAGGTGGTTAGTGAAGATCCCTTTGAAAATGGAATTAGTTTCAACATGAAATGATATCAGAAACCTTAACGTTTAGTGATTAAAGTAATGCGACGTTGTGGATGTATAACATGAGGCCATCTATATTTCATTTTCATTTACAACGGTCTATTAGTTATTATTTATATGCAATGTAAACTATCTGATTACAGAGTTCGGCCGTAGTTTAGATGTATTTTTTCTAAAACACCTGTCGAAACGCTAGAAATTGAAACAATAAATGAAGCAATAAGACACGTTTGTAGACTTCATGCTAGTTCCTATCCCAAATATATATTGGTAGAACATAAATCTGTATACCAAGGTAGATCACATGAGTAGCTGTTCTGGATCTTGAAATTTGGGTCGGTCGAGTCTGCGCTAATATGCCAACCAAAAGCGACCGAGATTAATCTAGTGCGAATGGAATTTACCGTGCACTCAATTTTAAGGCAACTGCCACACACAACGCTTCTACGATAATCGTTGGATGATAAAATCTAAGATTAAGGGGAGTACAAAAAAGGCATGCTTTTCTATGAAAAATGACTGGAATGGGGAATCTTCGTAGACACAGTAAAACATAACCTTCAAACAGAAAATTTGCAAATTAGAAGTGGTGACAGTCAACCAGAATACGAATTAGAAAAAAACGTTCACTCGTTGTTATCAATAAAGGACAGGAAATTAGTATTTATTAATAAAAACTGAGTAATCTGTGGTCACCTCAGCGGGCTGTTGTCAAGGTTCATAGGAATGCATGTCTTGAGTCAAAATCAATTGATATACACTTTATTTAGCCTACAAGTAGTTTCAACTTTTAGTATTCTTTAAAACTTTACATTCGTCAGTCGACCTTGTTTATAACTGCATTCGCTGTTTCAGTGTTAAGATCATTGCTCTTTGATAAACTCTAGCTTTAAATAGTATCCGGTTGGCAATTTATCCGCAAGCTAACCACAATTTTATTAATGCAGAATAAACACACATTTTTTATGAGATGAAACTATACAGTTAGATGAACAAAGTACAAAACTTACTTGTGTGGCTTGATTTTCAATTGTTTAGCCGTTTTAGACAATAACTCTTCATAACGTTTATCGGTGAGCACTGTCTTACCAAAATCAATTGAACCATAAACAACTAACTGTTCTTGTTCTTTCTCCAAAATACCTGCAGAAAAAAAAAAGGATGACCTTCATACACGACGCGATAATTGAAAGAGAGAATAATCATACAGTATTAGATATCAAGCACTGTTTAATTTTACTTTGTGTTTGCAAGAACTCTGAAGATGAAGTTATCAAATACGTACAAACAGATAACGTGAGTTTATATGATGTACATGTTTCAGATGCAGCGATAAGAAAGGTTAAGGATTTGTGAAAAATGTAAATTCTGGATTATGAGGATATTATTGGAGCCTTTCAAATTGTCTTACCAAATTATTCTAAGTGGTGTCTGAAACCCATTTTCTCAGCCTAACAATCGAAAGTTATACAGAAAACTATTAGTCTCACCTGGTATGATTGTTTGAGCGGTAACGCGAAAACCACGGTAATCAATAATAGCTGTCCCAAGAGTATACAGTCCAGGTTGATCTAGCATCGAATATGCACGTACTCCACACAAATCACTAGACTAAAATGATAAAAAAAAGAATTAGGACTTATACATACTTTTGGAGGAAAAAAGAGATAATCGATATGTAAGACAACTATTGATGACCAATTTTATAAATCCGAATGCAATTAGATACTGATTTTTGTAACTAGCTAAGTTACATTTTCTGGACCACTGACTTGTCATTTAGGATTAAGAGAAGTATTATGCTCTGAAGTTACAGCGTATAGCTAAACAAAGGTCCAAATACTTTTTGGTTCGTATAGAAATGAGACGGTATTGAAGTGAACGAGAACACAAGTGGGGACAATCGAATGTATTTGAATTATATAATCACAGAATCTCTTAGTAAAATCTGAGGACCATACAGTAAATACTTCATTTGCAAACTATCAGTCAATCGTCTCAGACTTTATTGTTCCTTCGTTTCCACACCAATCATCCTCTGTTCTCGTCCTCTTTTCTTCGATCTTCTTAACCTTCCGACATTTCACTTCCGATTGACGATACATATTATTTATATCTGTTGACGTTAGTAGCACACACTGCAGTATTAAATTGGGACCAAATTCTCAACAAATTACATGAATTTTCAAGTTACAGTTACCTCGAAACTGGATCAAAGTATTTCCATACTTAAAACTCGCCTTATATTGATGTCCTGTCATAACATAATTAAATTCTAAGCTCTGATCAAGCGGGTGTGGATATCGGCGAATTTCGCAAAGTAAGGTCAATCATAATCAATGAACAACCTCAAACGAATTTGCGTTGATTTAAGTCACTATATTATATTAGCATGAGATAGCATTGGCATTATGGATAGCAAAGGAATCGGAAAAAATAGTAGCAATCAAAGTGAGGAAGACAAAACACTGAGAATTAATCGTTGGTGAAACTTTCATTTATTTTATTGTGTTTACTGTATAGCTCAATCAAACTGCAAAGCAGTTAAGAATGTAACAGTACTTCCTCATTAGATGATTACCGATTAAAATTTCATTTCAGTATATTCATAGGAATGTATAAAACGAAGAGAAGTCAAACGTAATAAAATCACATTCAGTGTAAAATAAAGGAGTTCAATGACCAAGATGAACTTACTGTGGCAGCATATGCGGCATATTCACCGCCGAAATGTTTGTAATGATCTTTAACATCAAATCCAAGTGAGAAAAACATATTATTCCATATAAACATTTGTTGTTTACGTGTTTCTCCTGGGTTAATAGCCATAATATCTCCATTTACTACGCTAACAGCAGCACGAGTTGCTGCAGCAACAAAATCACTGTTTGATTTGAAAATAGCACGATCTCTAAGTAGCCGCTCTGTAAGACGTGTCTGTGGAAGTTCACGCGTAACTTGTAGCTCTTCGTTCCAGTCCCTAGTTTGACCGGGCAAATTTTCTTCGCACGCCATGCGAGAAGAAAACGCTATTTATCCAGCAAATTTTAAAACAAATGTATAAAAATATTTCTAAATACAATTAAGGATACAAGGATATTCGATTATTAAAACACCGAGAGAGCTGCTTGCTGTTGAACATTGTGAAAGGAAGAAGGTACGTCAAATATAGTCTCTTGTGGTGCTAAATTACTAATGATTTATTTTAGTGAGCAACTTCAAACTGTTTCCATTGTTTGTAGTTCCAGTTTCACTAAATATCCTTCGCTTTCACATGTGAAAGGCTGAAAAATTACCCAAACCAGGAACAGTAAGAAGTGAGTAGTTAGGACATATCTTAACTTTCACTTATCAAACAAGGTTGTTTCAAAGGAGATGGAATTGTGTTGACAAGAAAAGTTGCCATTACTATATGATCAACAAGTAACGTAACTGGAGTTTGCCCTTTGACTCAAGCTAATGCAAAAAGAAATACCATCATAGCTGTCAAATATATATATGATTCATAAGAGGAAGATGAACCTTCTTAACTGAAGAAGATATACCTTGGTAATTTTAATTGAGTAGTTTTTTGCTAAACACTATCCTTGTTTATTCACTTGTTGAATACAATACTTTCTCCTCTATTTCTCCAAAATATTGTTTCAAGTTCGTGTAGCCGATCGCCTTATGGTTTATTTGTAGCGAAATTACTGTTATAAATAAATAAATCTAGTGTAGTGAAATAGTAATATAGTTCATTGTCTTTTAGGTAGTCACAAAACTGGATCATTTGCATTGGTTTATGATAGATATACTAGAACATTCCTCGGTGAGACGACCTGACTAACAAGTGTATTAATTGTATGATCTATTATTAAAACGTCTTTTCATATTCAAGTCAAAGAGGATAGGGAGACAAAAAAACTAAGCTTTGAAAATGAGAATTTAAACAAATTCACTTGAACATACCTTCTTCTTTTCTTACAGAATCTGGGGAATGTTCAACTAGTGGCGCTAACCAGGAATGAACTTGATACGGAGTCGGAACACGTTCAAATGGATGTTTAGCAGCTCGATTTTTTAAAAGGGACTCAAAATTGCGCTTGAATCCTGGGCTAAGTTGACGCAGGAGATCGATCAGAGAATGTGCCACATAAGCATGTTGTATGGGGTGGGGATTAAACTGATCATCCGTAGACCTAAAATAGGAAATCAAATTACATTTCACACGAAGTATTTAACCAAGTAAAATAGTTGCAAAATTAATATCATTCAAAAAGTTCAGAAAAGGACTCAACAAAAAACATTTTGTTGGATTTTGGCCATTGAATTTGCGCAAATCCGTCAAAACCTATTCGATCACTGGGATCTTCCTACATCAAACGTTTTGATCACAGAAGTAAAATTATATTTTGTCTAAGCATGTTTAAAGCACGGATTATATCCTTAATGGTTTAGAACAGATTCCACACTTAATTAGACCAAAACTAAAATGACAATGCTTTCAGTCAGCTACAATGTAGGACCGGGCATATATGCATCGATCCAAGCTGCTACACCTCATTAGCAGAGCAAGATGGTTACCAAATTCACATAACTAGTTACTTCAATGACAGTAATATATAAAAGATTATGTATGAGGATATAATACAGGGAGAAAGAATTAGTTCGTAGAAAGAAAGGTATAAAGCGATTTTAATCTCCTAGTTTAAGGAAAGACGAAGAGTGTATACACCAATGCCGCTGTGATCGGTTCTGAGCCATGTCACTCAGAGTCTCCAACCATTGGTTACAATAGTCGCACGGACCCCGACTAAGTAGTCTTCAACGAAAACAAAAGAGATGGAAAAGGCGGCGGCTACAGGGAACACAAGACAGCTCTACAGACTAATAAAAGAAACTGGAATTAATAAGTCAAGTGTAAGTCAGACTATTTCGGAAAAAGACGACACCCTCATCCGCTCCCAGTCCAGACGTTTAGAACAATGGGCGAAACACTTTAGGGAACAGTTCAACTGGCCTTCAGCTACTCTAACAATACCCTCCATTCCCAGACAGTATGAATGGAACATTGAAGTAGGTCCCCCAACTCTTGCTGAAGTTCAAAAGGCTATAGTTAATCTGAAACAAGGAAGGGCAGCTGGTTCAGATGGATTGGCTCCAGAAGTCTTTAAGGATGGTGGTCCAATTTTAGCGATTAGGTTGACTAATATTTTAGCTAAGATCTGGTAGTTAGACGTTATCCCATCTAAGTGGTCACAATCACTTATCGCCCCAATATATAAGAGAGGATTAAAATCATCCTGTGACAACCATAGAGGGATTAGTTTAACTAATATAATATCTAAAATACTGGCCTCAATAATTATCAGACGCCTAACTAAGACTCGTGAACTGCAAACACGAGAGAATCAAGCTGGCTTCAGACCTGGTCGTGGCTGCATCGACCACATATTCACCATTCGTCAGGTTCTAGAACACAGGCATACTTATCGGCGTCCGACAATGGTGGTCTTTCTTGACTTAAAAGCAGCATTTTACTCGGTAGACCGCGAGATTCTGTGGCAATGTCTGTCATTGAAAGGTGTACCTCAGAAGTACATAAACCTTGTGAAGGCTCTTTACTCGAACACTACTAGTCGAGTCAGAGCTTATGGCGAACTGTCATCTACTTTTGCAACCTCAAGTGGTGTCCGTCAAGGCTGTCCACTTTCTCCATTTCTGTTTAACTTCATCATAGACTTACTGATGGAAACAACGTTCTCGTCCATTGAATTTTCGGGTATTGATCTCCTACCAGGTGGTTCACTTATCGACTTAGAATACGCAGATAACATTATCCTGCTTGGTGAAGACGCTGACAAAATGCTGAGTCTTCTGGTATCACTGAGCAACAATGCCAGAATGTTTAGAATGCGCTTCTCTCCCTCTAAATGCAAGTTGTTGCTTCAGGACTGGCCTGCGTCAACACCTGAACTAAGGATAGGGAGTGAAGTAGTCGAACGCGTTGACAACTTCACTTATCTTGGAAGTCTGATCAGCCCTAATGTGTTGGTGTCTGACGAAATCCCAGCACGGATTCGAAAATCTCGTTTGGCTTTTGCCAACTTACGTCACCTTTGGCGAAGGCGAGATATCCGTCTATCAATAAAAGGACGAGTATACTGCGCGGCAGTCCATTCTGTTTTACTTTACGGCAGCGAAACATGGCCTTTAAGAGTAGAAGACACCCGTAAGCTACTAGTATTTGACCACAGATGCCTTAGAAATATTGCTGGCGTCTGTTGGGATCACCGGGTAAGTAGTAGTGAGGTTAAACGCAGGGTATTAGGTAATGATGGTAAATCAGTTGATGAGGTTGTTAATCTTCATCGACTGAGATGGTTGGGCCACGTGTTAGGTATGCCTGAACACCGATTAACACGACGTGCAATGCTAAAGAGTGTTAGAGATGGTTGGAAGAGAATTAGGGGCGGCCAAACCAAAACGTGGCATCAGTGCTTGAAGACACTAACCTCTAGTCTGAGCCATGTTGGTAGATGCAGACTACTTGCTTGGGGTCCGCGTGACGATCGTAACCAATGGTTGGAGACTCTTGGTCACATGGCTCAGAATCGATCACAATGGCGTCGGTGTATACACTCTCTGTCTTCCCTTAAACTAGGAGATTAAAATCACTTCATATCTTTCTTTGTACGAACTAATTCTTTCTCCCTGTACTGTATCCTTATATGCGATCTTTCTCCTATATATTACCACCTTTGACCTAACCACTCCTATGAATCCGGTGTTCATCTTGCTGTGCTAATGAGGTATGGCAACTTGGACCGATGCATATATGTGCCTGGTCCTACGTTGTAGCTGACTGACTGAAGTAGTCTTTATCTACCAACATGGCTCAGACTACAAGTTAGTGACTTCAAGCATTGATGCCACGTTTTAGTTTGGCCGCCCCTACATTTCTTCCATCCGTTACCAACACTAGTCAGCACCGCGTACTGCAATGACTATGCAACAAAATGTATTGCCTAGTTGTCGTCAGCACCAGACACAAAAACACACAGGTACCAGAATAAATATACATCGATTAGTGTTACCACTTTTCAACATCAGGATAAACATAAGAAATAGACAAAAAGTCGATAATGCATTAACAACAATCTTTAGGATTGAAAACGACAAAAACCAAACTGATTAAGTGGAATAGCAAGTACGTAATAAATTAAGGTCAGGATTTCGATAAAAAATGAACCTGTCACTAGGTTATTATATTAAGCCTATATAACTCATTCTGGCTTTCGGATAGGCTAACCTATTCATTCTACTTGAGTCACATCCTGACCTTGTTAATTATTTGCTTATCAATCTTGACTGTTTTTATATGAGCGCGTAGGTGTGTGTTAACTTCCTATCCCATTACTCATCACATGTCTGTAACTTATTTTTGTGTAACTATAAATATTGATTAACGCTTGATTAAAAGGGAGTTGGCTTACTCGCCATCTCCACTGCGCATCGTTTCGCTTCGCTCTATTCCATTCGCTTCATATACAAAATATATGTATTCATAAGTCTATTATCGTTATTTGACTTATTTAATTCCGTTATTGACTAACGCGATTTAAGTCGATGATTATATACGAGGATAGGCGACATATACATTTCGATAGCAATCATTCATATGATCTAATTGGAGTCAGATCTCGGATCACTAAAGTGGAAAGCCCGTCGACAACATCGATCTAAATGATGACAAAATAAAGGGCCCCACTAAAGCCTAAAGAATGCAACTGAGATTAGGACTCTTACCACATCTATACCTAATAGTACGACCGATAATAGTCAATGACATCACAGACTGATAGATCGTTTGACTGAATCTAATATTTTTGGGTTATTTATAAACTATTTAACATATGTATAGAGGCTGATCACGTGTAGATAGTATTACAACAAATTACGCATATGATTTTGAACCTGACCAATCGACTTCTCATCCCTCATCCGACGTTTCCATAGTGACTAATGCATCAACGTAATTTATGTGTACTTCTCATCTTTAAAATCCATGTTTTATACGCATACAGCACAGAGATGGAACTTGTCAGTATCTGGAGAAAAGCGACTTGCAAGTAAGAATCCTAGTTATATTTCCGACCCCGATGTACAATATTTTCGATCATCACTAGCATCTTAAGCTACAACAAATTGTACGTCCTAACTGACAAAGTAAAACTTGAGTTTGAGAGAGAACCCGAACTTATTAGTCCAGGATGTAAACTTTTTATTCAACCACTTTTCAGTCCGCTAATACCCACCAAGCAGCAGTCCAATAGTATATCTCATGTGACTTGACTCATACAATAATATAGATTGGTTCATTTATCGCCCTTCGACACGAATATGAAATTACAATATAGATGTAATTTCGCCAAAATTGTAAAACAGGAAAAAGATAATTCGCTGCAATTAAAGAATAACAAGACGTACAGTAATAGTTGGAGATCACTTAAAGCTTACAACAACAAAATATAAAAACTTAGTGGCTCATTTATTCACTAATCACCGTAAACCCTGATCACCACGTTTGTGTACAAGACCATGTGTGAGGAAAGTTAATAAGAATTCCTTCAAGATAACAACAGTCAATTTAATTATTTCTGGACAACCATTTTGGAGGACCTCTCAAGATCAGACATCAGGGATTTTTTCATATTAGCTTACTTGTAATACCAACTTTGTTAAGAACAGTTGGGATGTTCAATAATACAAATTAATAATGAAAGCACCAAGTAAAGACATAAAACATATACACACTGGATATGAAAATGTGCAAAAATTAACGATATTTTGGCTTACATATTTACATAAAACCCTCTGGGACAAGCAGTTATATGGTACTTTTTGTCCTCTAACGTATGAAAGAATAAATAAATCAGATCTCCTAAGAGTCGTCTTGCAGGTGGTGGAGGGTTCCAATTACTATAATTAAGTTGGCGAACGCACTTAACTGGCTTTCCATCACGATCCAAAGGATGTAAAGGCAATAATGGGAGGTTGGTGTTTGCACCAAAACCGGGCATAACATATTCAGGTGGTATGAAATCAATGCGCATATCTAACCGAGTAGGGAAATGTTTGCGTTCTGAAGAGAAAATAAAGAATTAAATGAGTTAATCCTAAGACTTTCATGATAAATGCATCTCCAGTTTAGACTTATCATTCAAAGTTTCACCCCATTTTACATATACATTGTTCAAATTGCTAAGACGGTATGATGATCTAATAAATACAGCGTGAATAATGTAAATACGAGGATGAGTTACTGATCAAAGTAGCCAGTAATTATGTACTGTTTTGTGTAGAACCTTCTAATACCAAATGCAGTGCTACTATTCGAAACCTACCACTTGGCAGCTTCAAACCTGCATAAGTATAAACCTTAACACGGGTTAATACAAATGATTTGACCTCTACCAAAGTTTGTAGCGATTGATATGGCATGCTTATTATTTCTCAACTAAGTCTAAAGTACGAAAACTGGAAGTTGCTGTGAGATGATGCCCCATTTGCACGTAAACTTGGTAAAGTACTGATTATTTTAACCGCCCAGTGCGTACTCTTTATAAAATCCACACAGCACAAAAGCAATATGTAGACCGATCGCAAAGACAAACATCTGATAAAGGAAACATATCGGTCCTCGGTGTAGAAATCGCAGTGTGTAGTCAGTCCATAAAGAAGCTGACAAAAGACTTACACTCGTTGATTCTCACCATGATATCTTGACTTATAAGTCAACTTTAGGAACCAGAGAATCTTCATGAGCAGTTAATCGACTTTTATTACAGAGTCATTTAGTAGACCCGTTGGTGAGTCAAGACAAAACGAGGCAGCATTGATATAGCGAATGTCACAGTCAAAAGTGAAATTTGACCAAATTTACCTAGCTCTCCCGCTACTGAATTGACAAATGATAGGGACATCTGTTCTCTACCTGCGTATGCATCGTTAGGCTCGACTGAATGAAGGAGATCATGGATATGTCGAACATGATTTTTGGCTTCACGAACACTATAGCGCTCTAAAATAGGAGCTTAGTAAACACAATCATCGACTACCTTCCACAACTTTCAGTTCGACGCCATCAGCCAAACCATCGACTGACTTTAACTCTGCAAACATATCTAGTGTCTGACCGTTTAGAACCAAAGAAAAGCAAGTGCAACTGCATGTTTCTTCTCGATCCATTAACACACGATGGATTTCTTGAACGAGCTCAAAAGAGCTCACCTTAACAATAGTGAAATTTTATTAGTACTTATTACTTGTAACTCGAAAGGATCTGAATGGGTTGGAATTATCTTAACTGTGTAAGGCGTTTCATCTTGAACATCTTCCGACTTGCTCAAAGAATCTCCTTTTGACAAGTCGCCATTGGTAACTGCAGTCACCTTATTGTCACTGGTTTCATTTAACTCAATATCGACCATTATTAGGGATTTTAAGTTTGTATAGGGCTGTAACTCGAACACTACCACGCAGGTGTAGCGTTCACAACGGAAAACACAACCCGACGATCGACGTCCAACATTAACTTCAATATTCTTAAATGAGAATAGTGAACCATTCTCTCTCAGATGATCCTCATAAGACCATGAGCATCCATATTCAAACCAAATAAGTTCTCAACCACTCTTCCATGGTTTGACTTTTAGTTATCGACCTATTGACTTATAGGGCATGAAGTGATGTGAAGCGCCACAATGTAAACAGCTTTCAGTTTCAGTTCTGAAAGGATAGGAAGCCGAGTAGTTTATGTGAGTCTTGACAGTGATGATCCTTAAGTTGACGAAATTCTCTTTTGAAAGTGTCAACTGATGGAATTTCAGTCATGTGTTAAGATTATAAGTCACATTCGTCCACGATTCGATGAGAAAACTAATAGTCAGCTGACATGTGATGTTTTTCTTGACTTTTGAGATTTCCCATAGTTTATTCGTGCATTCCCTGTTTTTCGAGACAGCAAAAATGAGGACATATCAGGTTTAGACCCTTGACACTGTATCGGTAAATACATCCCCCAAAATAAATAGCTCTGTAAGTTTTCGACATCGGATGCTGACCATATGTTTTAGAGGACTCATCTAGCTGAAGGCACTCGGTCATGCATCCGCACCATATCACGTGTGGTAACGCTGTGCTCAAGATCTACCGCAATCGCTAGCCAGATTAGGTCAGAGAATTCCGATATATTGGTTATCGCCAAATACACTCTTCCGATCTCCTCGACTCTGTCTTTTAATTTCTCTTGGTGGGTACAAATTATATTAAGTGTTGCTGGTAAAAGCGTTGTTAAACACTGAATACCTGTGCCATCTTCAACACGCATACTCATATTATTCAACGGGGACTGATATCTGCAAGCACTTAGCCAAACATCGTGGCGATATTTCTGTAAGGGACATATGAAACTTTTCTACATTCAGTTACCGCTGTAACCTCTGTTTCCAACCAAACGCATTGTTTATTCCAAACTTCATCACTTTCTCCTTGTTTATCATCTAGGTAACATAAGTAAACGGTCTTTACACCTGTATAACTCAGTTCTTTCCTGCAAGACATATGTATGTAGAATCCGTAGGAATAGTCCAACACCCATGTATTTCGGGAATCGCTGTGACGAATAAACATACAGATGCTCTCAGATTAAGGGATTTGGTAAGACTTATTAACTCACGATACCTTAAGTGTAATTTACGATGAATGAGACATACGCACTAATAACATAGAATTACACACACCGAAATCCTCCTTGCTTTCTCAGGCACTTGGGTATGTAATATTGTACATTTAGTGATGTAACACTGGACTAAGGCGGAATAAGTCTCTTATTCTCCTAAAGGCAGTCGCCAAGCATCCAAATATTTAATTGGGGGTCAGAGTTACTAAACCTGATTAATCAATTAACTGAATAGAATCAACAGCAAAGGCAGCCTGGTTATGTCACTTTTCCTTCACATCCTTTACTTTCAACCATGACTTTTACGCTAGGGTTTTTCTGTTCTCTTCATAAACTAATAAATCTAGAAAGCGTGGCTCCCAGAATAGAATAGACCGGATTGAGCTATATAAGTAAGCTAGTCATGTGGTTAATGGTTTTATCATACAGTCAAATGTTTCCATACACGTTACCCAGCTGCAATACCACAGATGAGATTTCTCTACGGTGACATGTGTCTTCATCAAAGCATCCAAATTATGTACAGTAAGATCAAAGCTCTCAAAACACACCGGGTCCGGACATTCTTTTGCTTTAGAAAAATCCCTGGCCCAACGATTACTGAGGTATTATGAAAATTGGTAGACAACAACTAGAAATCCTCAGTATCCTTTTCGAGACGGTTGGAAGGCTGTGTAGAATTTTTGCCAGGTGCTGCTAGCCATGTGATGTACTATACGGCACTTCAGACACTCGATAAAAGGCCGAGATCCAAGAACTACTGCTGACTGAAAACTACTAGCGCTTTCTCTCAATAAGCTGTTTGATGAAATCTTCCCTCTTGAGTTCCGCTTACCGCACTACATTTCTCAACGCCAAAAATATGGCGTTGGACAAATATAAATTTCTTGAACCATTTTCAAGCAGTCAACCCTGTCAAACTGTACTGACTTCAAAGGGAATATAAAAATCTACATCAGCCGTTACAATCAATAACTCCAAAGTTCCAGTTGAAACGTACTGGAACATCGTAAGGAAGCTTGCCATTTGACTCTTCAGCAGAAAAGATCATTCATTCATAGTGAAGAGGTTCCCTTCTATGTAAGCAGCTTTTAGACAGTCGATGCTGATGTTGTCATCAGTTCCGTTCCTACTGATGGTATAGTACTTGGGTTCGAGGTGAACAACTTAATGGGTCCCTTTAGGGGGTGCATATAGAAATTGACATTCCGGACACATTTTACTGGATGAAGTCATCACGTGACTGATGTCGTGTGGAAGCAGGTTAAACTGAGTGCACTGAATTTGTAAGCCGCCTCAAGTGAGAGTTTAGATCCACATTCATGATAGAAGACGAAGGACCTAAGAACTTCTCTGTAAGTCGAAGCATTGTGTTGTAAGTTTGCCACCCATTGTTTGATAAAGGCATGGGCCACTTTTTCAGCAGTAGCATCCTTTCTAAGCACTGACCATACTCATCGTGTGAAACAATTCACACTCGTCATGAGATAAGAGTATCGATGGGGATCTCGTAAGGATCCTGCCAATCGATATGGATGTGTCCGAAGCGAGCTTGTGAGAGAGCACTGGTGACGCACCCATCACCTGAGGCTTTTATTCATATCTAGATAGTAAAATCGTTCCTCTATGAGAATGATGGCTGCTTGAACACATAGGTGAGAAAGCTTGTATAACTTATTCATGATACTGAGTCGATCATGTCCCGGGATGATTAGACGACCCATACCTACGGATGTGTCACAAAGTTTATTCATTTATTTTAACACATAGATACTGGTACAAGGAGGCACCAAATACAAATGAGCCACACAGATCTTATTTGATATATGTGAGGGCTGTGATACTACCCGGGTGCACAAACCGAAGCAGGTGGTTCACTTAGGGGGCCACTCTCGGATCCTTTGACCTGATGCACAAGGCAGTGAAGCATCGTAAGGATATGCAGTCCCATGGTAGCCGGTGACCAACGATTGGTTCATACGCCATTTGTTCACTCAGTGTGCTGGAGCCCATGTACTCAGTTGGTTTGGAATTAGGGTTTTCAAACTCCCCTAGGTGGACTCTCCGTGTGCAGCAACCTGGTTGAAGTGCCGGACATTCGCTTTTCATCCTCTCAATTTCGTAAACTACAGTAACGCCACAAGAAAGTAGTGAGTAGGACTCCCCTGGCAGAGGCTATATACTTGTGGTCATGTGAGATCACTTCGAGAGGGAGAGCGAACTCTCACCAATCTCGGCCGTACCCTAAAACTGTAGATTTGTTATGACGTGAGTATCGAATTTATGAGATCTGACGTGGAAGTCACATCATTGTCTGCACTGACTTATCATATCGTAACAACCACCAATATATGATGGAGAACACATTTAGATAGAACAATGGGTTTATTATGAATAAAAGTGATATGTTGCACAAGAATGATCACGCCTGGAAGGCTGAGCCATCACGTCCGATTGATTCGATTTTCAAATGAATATTCCCACGTTCACCATTATTGAACTTCTCTTAGTTTTACATGTTTAAAGTCTATTTTCTCAGTTATCTTATGTCCAGCTTTTAGGATTGTGGTTAGAATCCAATGTCACTGCAAAAGTATGGATCGAATATATGCTATACTGTGATTAGGCATAACCTACAACCAGAAAATGACATTTTGTAAAAAATATAAATTGGTTTGCGTAAACCCACGTCAGGATAAACATAAGTCTTAACATATGCGGTAATCGGTTTACTACTTGTAAACTTCAGATCGGTTCCTGTAGAGGACCACCAGGATTTTTAGGGAGAACACCAACATCTGCTCGAATGTTGATGAGATTGTGATTTTTCGTCATCATATCAATGATGTAAAACAGTTGGCCATGTCTACCGTCTACAGTTGCCATTATTGCGTTCCAGCGGGAAGGTTTTCCAAAAGATGCTTCAGATCTGGAGAACTGGCACGATTTTCTGAAATCTCGAGAAGAATTACTACACATTTTCTGGTACCAACACCAGTCAGGATTACCTGTTTCTCGTGGTTTAGAGATGGAGATTCTTCGTGACAAGCTTTTTAGGGAAACTTGGAGCGTCCCTGACAGTGACGAAAATAAAGATAGCGCGTGCAGTATAACGTATGTCCGCAACGTACATAATGATACAACAAGGAACAAATAGCTTAGAGTTTAGTCTATCGGATCAAACTCCGTCTGTAGCCTTTCTAGAGTTACTGCCGGTTCCAAGTCACACAAAGCAGGAGGGTTGGGCATGGAGTCGGCAACCCCATCCCGTAGAAAAATATCTTGCCAGAAAACGCCAACCAGATCACACAAATTGGACCGGTTAAACTCTGACTTGGGAGTTGAAGGAAGAATTATGACGCCTCAGGATGAAAGCCGAGATTCTTCGGAAGACACGAGGCCCACCTATTCGGCCCAAGCTAGGCAGCAAGGGTTAGATTCTGGAACGATGCAGCTGTACTCCGGCCACAAGGGAAGAGATGCTCCATACACTCAGGGAGTTGCTCTAATGCTGTCCAAAATAGTGCGAAATGCACTTGTAGGATGGGAATCTCACCGATCTACAATCACGGAATCATCCTTCAAAACCAAGAGAGAGGGAATGATAATGATTGTTATCCGGCGTCATGCACCCACCAATGATAGCAACAACGACAATAATGGTCTATCTTATGAGAGGCTGCAATTACTCAAATAAAAGTGCCAAGGAAAATACCTGATCATCTTGATAGGAGATCTAAACGACAAAGAAGGAATAGATAACACTGGATATGAAAATATCATAGGACGACATGGATTGACTGGGAGAGAGAAACGAAAATGAGAAAGGATTTGTAAATCTGTGTGCATTCAACAAATTGGTCATAGGCGGCACAATT